TTCCAGTCTCTGGAGCCCAGCTTTGGTGGCTGTTTAACTAGTCTGGAGGGATTAGGATTCTAACTGTTGAACTGTGGGGAATTGCTTAAAAAACAGTCACAATAGCAGAAAAAAGAAATGAACTGAGAGCAGTGGCGTGGTAGCATCTCTGCATCACTGAGGTTCAGCTGTGCACGGGGTCAATTGCCAAGCTGCTAATGCAGAGTGAAGATTAATTGGCTTTGGTCAGCCTTTGCTTCACTATCTGAATATCATTATCAGGAATGTAAATGATTATGCAATGCAGAGAAATGCCACAATAGTCTCAGTGTCTCCTTTTATACTTGTCTCTTTTTGAACAGGGCTTTATCTAAATGCAAATGTGATTTCAGCCTTCTGATTAGGACATTATACAGTCATCCATTCCAGAAAAGCACAATTAGCGGATTATTTTATTTCTGACTCAACAGTTCTTGGTTTAGATAGTTTGTTTGTTGTGCTGTGCATGATATTTAAGTTATCAGAAGGAGATTTACATTATTAGTCAGGATTATAGCCAGATTTTGTGAGGTCGAGGGTTTTTGCTTGGCAGATAAAAATGGTAACATTTGTGGGATTCAAGGGGCGATGTTTTTAGAACAAAAGGCAACAGTACAGATTTTTACAGTGCTTCATTGTGTCAAGGAAGGGGCAAATTACGGCAGTAACTGTGCAAATTCTCCAGTGCTTTGGGATGTACAAGGGCAGAGTGGAGCCTTACCTGTTGTCAGGATCTAGTCCCTGTTGTGGTGAGCTCATGCAGGGCCCCAGTATCCTAGAACTGGGGCAGGTCATGAGATCATTTCTTATTAAAGAGCCATTTTACCAAAATAGCCATCAAGTTTTCTGTGTGCTGTGGTATGATATTGCCAAGATTGAAATTACATTCTCAACAAAACACAGATCTTTGGTGATAAACTTCCCCAGGAAGCTTGTCCATTTCACAGCATTTGTAGCATTTTTGGAGCTGAGAATCTGTCAGAACTCAGGGTTTATTTTTTTCATTTGAGTATGGGAGTCTCATGCAGTTTAGGTTTGATAAAAGACATGGTGAAAATTTCCATCTTCAAATCTGTTAGAAAGTCCAGTACTTATGGGAAGGTGGAGAATTTTTTTCCCCCCAAAATTCATCGTTGCAAGTGTATTTGTCAGGTGATGTGGATTCAACAGCTCATCATTTTCTTGTGAAAAATTACTGCAGTGGAAAATTCCCAGTTATCTATAGTGAAACAACATTTTCAGTTCCATTGATCAGTTTAATCTTTCCACATTCATGTGTTTCCGTGCCTGGCTCATTGCTCTCTCCCAGAGCTGCTTTTCTTTCTGCTGGGCCAAGCTGTCCTGGGCAGTCCCAGCACATGAGGGATCTCTGCATTTGTGACAGGAAATCTATTGGACCACTTAGGTTTAATTAGAGCACAGTGACATATGAGGAGTCTACACATCAAAGCCTAGAAACAACTCCACAAATTGGCTCTAGTGCCAAAGTGTATTTTGGGATCTGTATTGAATTTTGGGGTGTTTCACTGCATTTAGTGGGAATGTGTGAAATACAGGGTCAGGTTCTTAGGGTCGGTGGGACTATAGCCATTCTTACCAGCTAAGCATCTAACCCAAAAAACCTGTGTGTAAAGTTACATTTAGGTTCAGGTCAACTTGAATCCAACTATATATTCCAGATTTCTGTGTTGGATGATAAACACCTTGTTCCCATAGGAACTCACTGTGGAAGTAGCTGGTTGAACCCTATGCCCAGTCCTAATTTGCACTGGGGTCAGAGTTGAATGTGGACCCGAGGCATCTTTTAAGCTGCCACAGAGTGGAGTGAGGGGTTAACTCAGCCCCAGGTGCAGGATGGGCTGTGGATTCTGCTCACTTGGAGCTCTCCCTGCCTGCTGGTAAGTCCTGGTTGGGGATGGTAATGCCCTGAGCTTCCACAAGGGATCTCTTCACCTCCTGTCTCTAATGTGCACGTGGCTTTGTCATTTCAACCAGCAGGACTTACCACTGGAGCAATTTTTTCCTTCCATAAATCCTTTTCATTTAAAAAAAGAGTGGATTTTGATGTTTCTCATATATTTTATTTATTTTAGGCAAGCTGAATTTGAGATATAGTATCCAGATCCCAACTTTTTCTACACTCCAGATTATGGAATGGGTCTATTTTTATCTTATTGTTATTAATCTACATTATTTTCAAATACCCACTTTAAAGGTCCTTCCCAACCCAAACCATTCCATGATTGCATTTCTATTTTCAAACTAGGACACAGACTTGGAATCATCCTAGCTAATTTAGGCTTGTAACTGCAGAATCTAGTTTTGCTGCTCCTTCTGTGTTTCATGGAGAGAAGGGCAGGGATTAATTCAGTCTGTGTTATGAGTCACATTTTGGAGTTGCTTATCTTTCTGCTGCTTGGAGGGGAATGCAGGAATCTCTGCTGACTACTGGGTGTGTAATCACCTCCTGTACTTGAATGCCAAAGTGAAATGAATCCAAACCAAAAATGCATGGAGCTGACACCCAGCATAGGTTTCATTGCAGAGAGAAAATTATATTTCAGAGAAAAAAGCATTGGAAGAAAACAAGAGATGAACATGTTAAAGCCTGGGGGTATTTTGATCTGTATTCCAAGCTGAACTCTTTAGCTAAAGCCACAATTAGCACATCCTGTGTGCTTGGAAAGTGAGGGAGCATTAAAGTAGGCAGACTGAAGCCATTTTGAAAAGTCAGTTCTTGGTCTGTATTTCTCAATTTTTGTAGTATCTTTCTGCCCTACATATGGGGCTTTTTTTAGAACAGTATCCAATTCCTGTAGTGTGTGAAGCCAAATGGCTTTTATTAAACAAATAAGGAAAAACAGAATCAAACAAGCAGAATGAGAAGACTGCAGCAGCAGCAGCAGCATAGAGCCAACTTATTGCCCTCATGATGGAAGATTGGTTTGCTAATTGTTCATGAAAGCTAATGGAAACCATATTTAGGCTGTGAATAATTCTCAGGAGGGATCATTGTGGAGTCTTACCTCATTTCTCACACTTTCCTGGTAGAACATCTCAAGTGTTCCAAAGCAGACACACCTCAGGAAGCTCCAAGTGCAGAGAGTGGTGGTCAGGTGTAGGTCCTAGAGCAAGGTGGGACTGACTCCTTGGGATGAGGGAGCTTTGCTGGCACACCACTCACCTCCCAGGGGCTGCTGCACACGGATACTTTGGCAAAGGGCTTTGATTATTCAGGGTGTTGCTAAATGGGTTTTGAGAAGGCACAAATGAACTGCACAGAACCCATTTCAGGTGTAAGGGAAGATGGCAGTATAAGTGAGGAGGAAAGGGATTCTGACATACATCCTTCAGAGGTTTCTGCCTCTTAAGCCCATTGTGCACCTTAGAATTAGTTTTACTAATTTGCATCATCAGCTCATGAGACAGTCACTCTTGTAAGTGCTTCCTTGAGACAGCCATCTTACCCCTTGGAGGCTGGAAAAGCTTTTTCTGAAGTGTCACCAGACCCTTCCCTGGGGGCTTCCAGAACACCCAGTGGCCATGATTCCCTGTGTTTCTGCAGGTCCCTGCAGAGCTGGTGTTCCAAAGCAGCCTGTGCTCCGTCAGTCTGCACAGAGCCAGGCTCCTGTCACCTCCTCCCTGCTCCCAGCACACCTGTGGGCTCCTCCTCCAGCCTCAGCCTGGGACGTGTCATTGCTGTGCCTCACACATTCCTGGGGGCAGGAAGGTTTTCCTGAGCTCTGGGTGTGCCCACAGCTCTCTCACCTGTGCAGTGGATCAGGAGTTCTGCCCCTGCAACAGCTCCTGCTGCTGTTATTACAGGATGTACTTTGGATTCAGAAAATCAATGGAAGCTGGAGCTCACACAGCCCTTCAGCAGGGACCAAACCCTGGGCTGGGGTGCTCAGATGTGACTCTGGTGGGGGTCTGTGCCATGAGCAAAGCGACCTCCTCGAGGCACATTTCATTTGCTGAGAATACAGATTACAGTGGTACATATCCCATTGCAATGGGTATTTATAGGTGCATAATGAGGAGATTTTATCCACTGCAACAAGATCTAGTCTGTGCAAATATACAGCCCAGGCATGTGATAGCTGTGGTGTTCTACTCCAAAATAAATGTGGCTGAAGAACTTAAATTACTTAAGAAAAAAGAAAAAAATGTTCCAAATAATGAGTAAGTATCATAACAGGTACTAAAATAATGCCACGCACCTACTTCATTATTCAGTTGCTTATTTATTATCTTTATTCTTTAAAGTAATGATATAAAATGCTTTTTTCCAAATGTTAATTTAGTTCTCTGCAGATGGCAACCATCTGTTAAATGACAAGGCATTTACAGTCTTTGATTAGCACTTTATAGAGCTTGGATGAACTTATTGTTACAATATTTAAGTATAGTTATGGAGTTGAAACTTGGTAGATTTGTTCTTTTCCTGTTGCTGTTACCAAAAAAATGGAAAATTTCAAACCTGACAATGTTTTTGCCTGTCTTCTCCTTTACTTATCTATGTTATTTCAAGCTGAAGCCTTGACATTCTTTGCAGAAGGACAATAATAGGAAATATTGTTAAATTCCAGTACCACTTGTAGCAATTATGAGCGTTCTCATTCTGGAAAGTCACCATGTGGATAACTCTTAGGGATGCTCAAGGAAAGCAGTTGGAGGACTCAAAGTATCATGGAAACTTTCTGTGGGCTGCCCCACAGCTTTGTGTGCCTGCACCAGGTTCCACGGGGGTCTGTTTGTGAAATGCTGGGATCCCATCACAAGTTCCCATCACAAGTGATGTGACTGCACGAGCTCCGCTCTTTGGGTTTGATACCTCGGGCAGCGACAGCTTCAAAAGCTTCTGCGAGCCACGCTGCTGATCCTCCATTCCCCGGCCCTGTTTTCAGTGTTTCATGTTATTTGCGCTGTGGCTGTGTGTCCTCAGTGCCCTCCCTGAGGTGCTGTGTGTGTTTGTCCCGCAGCCGGGGCGATGCCGAGCGCGGAGCGGGTGCGGAGCGCGGTGCAGCTGTACCGGTACCTGCTGCGCTGCTGCCGCCGCCTGCCCGAGGGGAGCGTCCGCCAGCACTACAGACACGCCATCCGCCAGGTCAGAGCCCTCGCTGCCCTTCACGGGGGGCTGGGGGGCTTGGTTTCCTCCTACTACTCTTTGCACCAGCTTTTTATAACTCCTGGCACTTGAAAAAAATGATACCGACTATTCTTTTGCAAGCTTGAGACATGAGTGGATTTGAAGGGTTATAGTGGGAGTATGTGAAGGAGCATTACTTTTTGTGTGCTTCTGAAACATTCTATTTTTATTGGCTTTCATCTCTAATACTTTTCTTAGTCAAGAGGATGAACAATCATTCCTTACTCCATAAACTCATCTTTTAGGGCCAAACTTACTGGTTCCTTGTCAGTCATTTTTTAATATATATATATATATATATATCTATATATCTCCTACCCCCCTGGCTGGGTAAATCTCGTCTGACTGTTCATATTCTGTACTTCATATGGAAATGATTTCATGCCTTTGATCATACCTGTTGTCCCATGTCTCTCCAGTTTTAACCTACCAGACAGTTTCAGTTTTTGTTGATGATGTATGAAAAGAGTAAAATACTTCACATGAAATTCCATACGACCAGATTTGTTAGGGAAATAGCATGGCCAGGTGCTACAATGTGTACCTTTACCTTTCCAGACCAACAGTTTATTTTGCATCAAATATTTTTCTGAGATTTAAAAGCAATCCTTATTTTGACAATTGTTGTGTTGCCTGGTCCGTGTGACACTTGGAATGTTGCAGAGTTTCAAAGTTCATGCTGATGAAGATGACCCTGAGCGAATCCAGCAGATCATTAAAAGAGCCATTGAAGATGCTGACTGGGTGATGAATAAAGTAAGTGCCTCAGATTGTCTGTGTTTTGGTTTCTCCCAGTTTAAAACAAGAAGAAAATGTTGGAAAGTGAGTTCTGAACAGGCAATTTTTGTGTTGACCTGGACATTGAAGTGTCTGGGTGAAAGGAAATACCCAACCAATAGGGATTGTGGCAGCTCTTGTTTAAAAAAATCTCTTCATCAATATAAACTAAAGATTGTTTTTTTCAGAACAAATAACAATTTAAGTTGGTGCCTGTGTCAGTCTTTGTTTCCATGAAGAATTCTGTTAAATTTCAGCAATGGTGGCTTGTATAACCCTATTATAGGAGAAAAAAACCCAAAATACAGCATTTTGAAAGCCATAAATTGATATGCAGCATCTGCCTTCCTGACAGATTCACTCCTTGTAGGCACTTTATATGAACTTCCAGAACTGTTGTTTTTTCTCAGATCTTGCCTGTGGCTGCAGAGGTCAGGGGCAAAGCTGTGGTGCTGGGCTTCTCTGTGCCACAGTTCTCACCCAGTGGATCTGCCCCTGTGCTGTCACAGCACTGGAAGATGCCACTCAGGCTGGTTTGTCAGATAAAAGAATGGGGATCGTTCATGTTAGACAGCTGAGAGTCACCTGTGCTTCCTGGGATTTGAGTCTGGCTGGGGAGTGTGATATGTTAACGTTGAGTATAAGGAAACAAGTCAGAAGTTCAGCTTCCTCTAAGTATCTGTTGCTTTTAATTTACCAAGTGACTGTTAAATCCTTCTCTCTGCCAGTCCATGAAATCCAAATGAGAATTGTTACAGGAGCAAGCAGAGATTAGTCACAGATTATGAAATTATAGCAGTAGCCAAATCCCAGCAGTAACAGCCTAGTCAATAACTGTGCCTGAATCTGATTTTATTCTCCTACAATTAGAATTGTAGGCTCATTCTGAAAGGAAGAGAATAGGCTCATTCTGCTTCAGCCACAGAGGCTGTAGTCTGGTTCTGTGGAAAGCTGGTGGTGTGAGAGGAGGGGCACACTCACAGTGCCTGCCAAGGAGCATTAGTTTATATTGCAGAGAGAAAACCTGTCAAATGTCAATCTAACTTAAAGGAGACAAAGGTAAATTTATGTGGATCATGAAGAGGGTTGTAAATCTTTGTCAGCATGAACTGTTACTTAGTTATGTGCTTTTTCCCACAAAAAAATTTTCGTCTGTTACTATTTTTTTTTTTCAGTATGAAAAACAGAAGAAGAAGAAGGATGAAGACAAGAAGGACACTGGTAAACATCCTTAGAGGACTTGCAGTCAAACCCAGTGCTGTATTAGAATTATTGCCTGAAGTTTTCTCTTAGATACTACAAATACAGTAATTTATATCTCACTGGAATGTCATGAAGCTAAATTAATATTTCTGAAGCTATTTAAGTGTGTAAATGAAAAGGCACAGTCGAGGTTAAAACTATTGCCTTGTATAATCACAAATTTTAAGTTAAAGCCCAAACTTGTCTAAGCTTTGAGTAACTTCCTCCATTGTGTGTTAGGCCTGGATCAACCCTGGCAGTGTGTGAGACACATTTTGCAGGTTCTTTGGTGACAAGGCTCCCCTGCATCAGCCACTGTGGATTTCGGTGACTGAGCAGTTCAGCTCGTGTGTGTGTGACACTGATGGCAGCTGTCACTCTGAGAGGTCACATCCTCCTCTGTGGGGACCAGAGGTGTGTTCAGAGTGAAGCAGAGGTATGACCAGAGCACAGGGCTGGGTTTGATCCAACAGCAAACTCAAAAGCCTGGGCTGCTGAGGGGAGAGCATGCCACGAGAACTTTCACCCCTTCTGAAGGCTGAACCACAGTCATTTCCACTTGCCCGTCCATGCTACGGCCACATCTTCCCTCTGCTCTGTGGGCTCTTGGACTGCTGGCTGTCTCAGTAAAGTCAGGGGCTGTCACTGCTCTCTGAGCTGCCACGGGAACAGCCCCTGCTGGGTCGGGAACAGCTCCTGCTCGGTCGGGAACAGCCCCTGCTGGGTCGGGAACAGCCCCTGCTCCCTCGGGAACAGCCCCTGCTGGGTCGGGAACAGCCCCTGCTCGGTCGGGAACAGCCCCTGCTCCCTCGGGTTCGTGCCCGGGGCAGTCACTGCCCGTGCGATGCTGTACGGCTCAAAGGCCTGCACGGCTCTTTGGAACACAAAATAAATGTCCTTTCAAACTGGGAGTCCCTGTGCGTTTCCAAAGGCCGTCTGTCTTTCCGCTGCCGGGGTGGGTTTTGCGGGGTGGGAGCGCGGTCGGTCCCGCCGCAGTTCCGCGCTCCGCCGGCGGGTGGCGGGGCGGGCCCGCACAAATTGCTCGCAGCACCCGCAGAGCTTGGGAAGCGCTGGATCAGAAATGGGGCTGTAAGCGAACATCTGTATTGTACCAAAAAAACCCTTTGTCTCTGATAGCATTAACCCTCCTCTCCAAGAATTCCTGTCCTCTTATTCTTCCCTCTGCCATCACCACTGTTGTTCCTCTCTCTGCTCCCACGTCTTTCACATCACCTTATACACCCTTAACTTTTATTGTCCTTGTTTTACATATTCCTCAATTCTGTTCTCATCTTATCTCTCTACCCCACTTATTTCTTCTCTTCAAATCCTTTTCAGTCAAGTGCATCAGAACATACTCAGGTGTTATGCTGGGGCCAGCCTTCTGCTTCATTTCAGGTAAAGCAGGAAGGTAATAGAGTTTCTCAGCAGAGCAGGTGTTTTTCTATGTAAGGAAAGCCTCTTGCGTAAATTTTTTTGAAAGTGCAGTCATTTTGGTTTAAACTTTCAAAATAATTTGGTGTAAGGTAGAACACAGAAAGCTTCAACCTTGGCAAGGCACAGAAAGCTTGACCAACAAGGAATATCCAGTGTGATACTGAACACTAATAGAAAAGCTCCAGCATTTTTGATAGCAGCTGTCTGAGTGTGCTGCCTCTGATCAGAGCAGCACACAGGTGACCCCTGCTGTACTCCAGGCCTGTGCTGTGTGTTTGGTCTGCAGCTTGGAGATGCACCGAACTTTGTATCACTGCAGCAGTGAAAATTACAGCCTTAGTGGGATTAGCAGTGTATGGAAACATGGCAGTTTCCTGAACTTTAAATGTAGAGTGCTCAGCAACCCTCTATGGCTTTAATTGCCTGACTTTTGATAGTGTGAGACGTAATATTTTGTTCAGTTACAAAATAGGATAATTACATGTGTTTAAATCACTCTTACATGCCTGTTATTTAATTTATGGCTAGTTCAGGAGTGAAAGCACCAAGGAGCTGGAAGATGCAACTGGGACATGTCTGCAGCTCCAAATGTCCAAGGTGCCAGCTGAGAACATCAGACCAAAGGTATGATAGAGGAACTGATATGGGAGGACCAGGATCTGGGAATTTTAGGTTTTGGAAAGTGGTGGAGCTTTCAGTTTCGGTAGGGCACAGAGGAGGGACATGGTTGGTGAGCAGGAGACATCATGACTAAATATTTTGATAGGAGTGATTCAGCTGGAGGGCATGAGGATATGTCTGAGGGATTTTTGTTGGGGGTTTTTTCATACAAATATAATCTGGTTTTCAAAATAGTAACCTTTTAATAGAGCAAAAGTGTGAAGATTACTTACTCAATATACAAATAATTTTCTTGAGGAGAAATGATGCAAACAACTATTTACTTCCCTGAAAGTGAAAGTAATACCGGTGTCTCAGACATGTCTCTGTAGTGACTGGGCTGAAGAGTCATTCAGCTGCAGAGCTGAGGCTTTTGTGTTTTCAAGACATTATACAAATTCCATTCTCCAGCAGCATAAGTTGAGTCCCAAGATGTTATGTTAACCCAGATGTAGATGAGAACCTGAACTCCGAGAGGAGATTTGGGCAGAGCTTCAATACTTTCGACCAAAATTATTATTCAGAAAACTTCTGCTCCGAAGTCGTTGAATCCTGGACTTGGCCAAATTTACCACTCACTGACCTGTGTGACTGGAGTTCTCTTCACCTTTGTTTGAGCAGCTTTCTGCCTCTTTGCCACCCAGCCCTGCTGAGCCTCAGGAATGTTCCCTGTTCCCAATGCCAGCGATCACTGCCAGCGGCTCTAATGGGGCCCACTGGGAGACAGAACATGGCCACAGGCAGCTGCTCCTGGGTTCTCTCATGGCAATGGGGATCAGAACATCAATCCCAAATACACTGGTGCATCTGTGCTTCCATTTTCAGTCATCCAGAATCTCTGAGCATGAAGCTGGCAGATCAAAGAGTCTGTGTTGTGCCCTGAAATTACTATTGCAGAGGCTAAAACAGCTCCTGGTGTTCATTAAGCTGGTGACAAGGCAAGGCATAATGTCAGTAAAAGGAGACAAACCCATTTGGAAGCTTTAGTTTCTCTTACTGAAATGAGGAACCCATTTCTGCCCGAGTTCTGGTAAGTGATGGCCTGCTGATAGGTGATTGCAGTAGCTGGATGATTAAGGGCTGGTCAGAAGGTTGTGTCGTGTGTCCAAGCCCCGTTTTTGTGGCCTCCCTGGTGACTGCTCCTGCAGTAAGTGATGCCAGCATCAGTTTCAGTGTGGAATAGGATCCTGTGCCCCCACCTAGCCCGGGGTTTGCATTGTGTTTACACAAATGTAATAACTACATTCTGCTAACAACACTTCTGCAGCTGGTTACAGTAAGATCTTGAGTCAATAACTTCTCCTAAGTACTCTACAATTCAGAGTTGAGTGGACTTAACTCTTCAAAGGTTGTGTACAGGCAACTCTTGGTTAAGGAGGTAGAGAGTTTCACAGGAGGCTTGTTATACAAGACAAACATTAGACCAAGGAAAGACAGTTGGGAGACTTGTGTTTAACAGGGTGAAATCATGCTTTACATTCTTGCAGTATGGAGAAACAAATCATTTAGATCATGTTACAGACTTATCAACATCCAGTCTAAGGCCAGAACCAATGCTGGTGCTGCACTTTCTGTTCTGTGTATACATGACCTTGGGAACCTAAAGCTGAAATTATGTGGAAATAATCTGTACATTACAAAAATGGAACTAACGTGCCTAAAATGGAGCAGTGGCAGTGGTTGGTCAATGTGTTTTGTTTAGTGTTTTGGTTCCTGCTCTTAAGCTCTCAGACAGATGGTAAAGACTGCTTTGGTTATTGCCAGCGTTGGAGCCTCATGTAGAAACTTTCTGTCTAGTGAAAGTTTTTCCCTTTTTTTTAATTTTTTTTTAAATTTATTTATTCATTTCAGGTTTTGGTATGGAAAAGGTTGTGTGAGTGTGTGATTAATGTAAAATACAGGATAGCATTCTGCTCTTCACGTGGCTCAAGACACATGTACCTCTGCTCACATTCCTCTGTCAGAAGTGTTACTGATTTCAATTCACTCTCACCACCGAAAGTCATTTGAGCTCTGTGGGTACTGAATAGAATTCTTCCAACCCAGGCCAGGCCTTGCTTACCACCATTTGTCAGTAATTGAATGTTCTTTAAATCATTCTTTAGCACTTTGTAAACTCTTTCTCACTTGGTTTGTTATGTCACAGGCTTTTTGTTTAGAGACACTTGAGCTTCAGGATTTGATGCTAAACAAAAACCTCTCTTCCATAGTGTTTGGCTCATTTTCAAATGTCATAAGGAAGTGATCTTTACTGTGATACTGTACAGAACAGGAATACACACTATTTCTGGGAGAAACAAATAATATTCACTCTGATCTTTTTTAAAGGAAACAGTTTCTTATTTGTAATAGCTTTTAACTTGGCATGATAAATTGTACCTTCATATGAAGCTCTGATAAGCTGCAAACTGAACAGGCAGCAAAACATCTGTGAGTCTTAAACATTCAGTATCATAATATTTATTCCTTATGAGAGCCCTTGGCCTTAAACTGTAAGAAGGAGTCTTTAGAGCTTTATGCTCCACTACGTTGTGTCCCTCAGTGTCACCCCAATTAGCAGAGGTGTGTTTGAGGTGAGCAGTCTCCTGGCCAGAGCAGTGTTCTGAAGCAAGTCACTGACACCCAGAAATGGCTGGACAGGGACCCACAGTGGCCACTGAGTTAGAGCCTTTCCTGCAGCCTTCCCTGCTGCTCAGAGCTGATGGATTTCTGCTGGAGCTCGGGCCAGCTGGTACATCTTTCAACTTTTGTATTATTTGATTAATTTATCTTATAATTCTGTCAAGCCATATTTTATGAAATAGTGTTAACTGAAGTATACAATAATCATCAAGTACTTCTTTCAGCTTGTGATTAAGCAGGGCAGACACATTAACTTTTAAAAAAACTCTGCTCTTTGAAGAGTATTTTCCTCATAATTGTGTTTGATATTTAAAATAGTTTTTAAAAGTTTAGAAGCAGAGGGAGGCATCTGTCACTTGCAGCTACGAGCTTAACAATGTTTGTGTTTGTTGCTGAGGGAGAGGCCCCTGGCATTGCTCACTTCACTGCTAGGGTCTAAGGGGACAGTTCTGAGGCTGCTGTTTGCTGTCCTTGCCTGTGAGCTGGGAGGCCCAAGAAGTGAACTTACCTATCCTGTAACTATCAAAGGGGGTGCCTCTTGCCCGAGAAGAACCTGCCTTCGTGTTCTGCATGGGTCCATTTTGAGAAGGATTAACTTGATTTTTGGTTTTTCAGTTAGTAACTTCCAAGCCAGCTTGGTTTGGGTATTTCACAGAATCACAGAGGTTGGAAAAGACCTCCAAGATCATCGAGTCCAACCTGTGACCAATCCCCCCCTTGTCCCCCAGCCCAGAGCACTGAGTGCCATGTCCAGTCATTCCTTGGACACCTCCCATGGCACAGCTTGAGGCTATATCACTACCCCATATAAAATTTTTTTTTCAGCTCCAGCTGGATAAGTTTGGACTGAATGGCCTTATTACCTGTAGTCTTCCTTCTGCCAGAGTTCAGCTTCATCTATTTAAAACCCACTGCACTTTATGTCTTTTTATTATTACAGCTTGCTTTTTTCACGGTCTCTGGTATCCTTCTTAAGAGAAGTTGAAAAGCACTGGCATTTTGATTAATATTTCCTACTCTTCTACAGAATGGATTTTAAAAGATACAAAATTGACACATTCTTGCAGCTGCTGAGGTTGACTCATGTTCTGCATTAAGTAAAATCACACAAGATCTGGGATTTTTCCAGCCTGCCTTCAATTTCTTAGCAGTCATTTCATCTACAGAAAGTCAGATATGTCTCAGATGGTGTGGAACAAGGAACAAGGAGAAACAGAGTATTTTGTTTTCCACAATTGTGCAACTGCAAGATCTACTTTCTCTTTTATTTTGTGTTTTCCTCTCTGTTTTTAGAGGTCACAGAAATGGTGTGTTTAATCACGGTTTACAATACAGAATGCAGTTGAACCTTGGAGCTTTCTCTCCCCCAAGAGCTCTGTGAAGTTTGTCCTCTTAGCTGGAAGTATCTCACAGAGAACATTGGAGCTTTATGGCCAAGAGTTTCAAAAGTAATTCTCAGATTGCTTTTTAGGTGCTTAACTTGGGAGACCTTCAACATTATACTTAGTGATAATCTTACACATTTCACTGTGTGGCCGTTTAACCTGAGGAACATCAGGTCAGTTCTGTTCTGCTCTGTCATGTGCTGCCCTGGGTGTTTGAGGGTGTGGAGTCTTGGGTTCCCTGTCTGGGTGGTGGTGCAGCCTTGGAGCTGCAATGAACAGCTGGGCTGTCGTGGGCAAGAGAACTCAGCAGCTGGCAGGAAGCTCAGCCCTGGGCACTGCTGAAGAGCCCATGAGAGCTGGAATTCACAGAGACTGTCTGGGAGACACAAATCTTGCCTTTGTGCTCTATCAAATTCTGTCTTGGCCTGTAATAACAAAGGCAGTCTAGATAGTTGCTTACCAGGATGTTTCCTTCCCATGCTGTTCCAGGGTTCTGAGCCAAAGCCACTGGAATCAAAGGGAAGGAATCCCCTGTACTTCGGTAGCATTCACCATCTTACACCATTTTTCATTGCTCTGAATACTCAGGGAAATGGCCTGTGCTTAACCATGGTTCCCAAAATTAAAATTGAAACGGTTTTGTTTATGCAGTTTTACAAAACAGCATCTGCAGCAGCCTGGATGGACAAGTTCAAGAGGTGGGTCTGATGCTGAAGGCCAGCACATCCTCAGCAAGTCAGCTTGGAGTCTGGGCCCAGAGGCATCACTCCTTGTTACAGCTGCTACATGAAGGCAGGGCAGAAAGAATTCTCAAGTTTCTCTGTCCATTAATTAGTTGCTTTCTTTTCCCATGCTCATATGCTCTTTTGGAAAAATAAGTATTAAGGGTCCTGCTGCTGCTTTCAGTGCTGAATAACCACCTTCCTTTTTGCTTGATTTCAACTTTATCAGTATTAAAACCTACAGTCTATTTTAAAATGAGTTGATGGTTTGCAGATCAATGGTTTATACTGCTCCCATTTACCACTGACCTGAGTCCTTCCTTCTCCATGGTGCACTGACTTCTGCTGGTTAATCAGAGATTGGATGCTGTGTGTCTTGCAAAATGATCATCTGACTGGGTAGGACCTTATTACAAACCCCCACCAAAACCATGCACAAACTATCACTTCTTGCATTCTTATCCAAAGCTGTCAGACACTGTGTGAGCAGGTACTTGAGAACCCATCTTCCCTGCAAATCAAGCCATTACCTGTGAGGATTTATCTCTTGTCAGTGTGAAGTCATTTCAGGGTGCCAGTCATCTCACATGCAGCTTTGCTCTTCCATTGAAAAGAAATGGGATTTCAAAAGCAAAAACCTGAGAGGAAGCTGGAATCAGAGATGTTATGTTGGATGAGGATTTAGACACCTCATGGGAGTACAGGAACTATTGATCCCCAAAACCCCACTAGGAAGAGGGAGGGTGTGTTCTTTCAGAGAATTCTCAGATTGCAATTAAGCCTTCAAAGCTCGTACGTGAGAAGAAAGAAGGAAATGATGTAATGATTTTTAGCTTGGCTGGTCAGAGAGCTCTTGAGCTGCTGGAACCTGGTGGACAGTGTTGTAAAGACGCAGAAAATTCCCCTTTATGTTCCCTTCTGCCAGATTTCAGGTGACTAAGTCAAAACTAATCATCATAAAAACAAGGTTAGGCAACAACATGCTTTTGACCAAAAAACTTACTATTTTTGTCCCTTAAGTGGAGTACACAGTCTGCACCAGCTCCTCTGGCTTTGGTGGCTGTGGTCCAAATACATCTCACTGCAAGAGTTGGATGAAGCATTTAGACTGCATGAAGTAATTATTTTGCATCTTATCCTTTTGGAAATGGAGACCAAAATTTTTATGTCTAATAATAGCACCTGCTAATTAATCTGTAATGATTCTTTGATGTGTGTACTAGGACTGTTTATTATAATTAACCCCTGTGATTTAACTCACTCCATAAAGCCAATCATCATGTTCTAGAATTTGATCTTGCTCTGTGTCAACACACATTCCTCCACATCTCTTTTTTGTATTTTTAATAAGTGACTTTTCAAACTCCCAAGTGATGTCCCCCCTTCCAAATGTTGCTTCAGAGCCCATCCTTTCTGTCAGCACGGTCAAGAGTTGTCTCAGTCAGCAGTGTTTGCTCACTGAATGAAAACCAAGCTAAATAGTATGTCCCTAGCCTGGAATTCTGATAGAAAGGGAGTGAGGAAGGAAAAGCAGCACAGATGGAATATCTGCATCTTTTACTGGTGGACTGTTGTGTCCAGTCTGGATCTCCAATACACGAAGAGTGAGCTCAGTGGAGGGCCACCAAGGTGATGCCTGTGCCTCATGAGGAGAGGCTGAAGGAACAGGGCTTGTTCAGCCTGGAGAAGACTCTTGCAGCCTTCCAGTGGCTTTCAGGAGGTCACTGAGGAGATGGAGCCAGGCTCTCTGTGGTGGTGCCTGGTGGGAAGATGAGGAGCAGTTGGCAAAAGTTGAGATGAGAAGTCCAGGCTGGGTATAAGGAGAAACTTTATCCCCATGAAGACAACCTAGCAGTAGAGTAACAACAGACTGTTGTGCAGTCTCCTTCCTTGGAAGTCCTCAGGACCAATCTGGATCAAGCCCTCACCTCACAGCTGACCCTGCTTTGGGCAGGAGGTTGAACTGGATGAAATGCTGGGAATCCCTTCCAACCTTCATTCTCCTATAAACCTCTGCATGATGTCAGTTTTTTATGGACTTTGTTTCAGCTACTGGAGTTATGTTTGAGGAATTTTCCACAAATCCCAGCGCTATTCAGGGTACCCTATTCCAGCAGCTGCCTCAGGTTCACCTGAGTTCCCTCCTCAGGCCATGCTTTCCCTAAAGGATGCCTTTGCTGCTGCAGCCGTGGCTGAGGATCCCAGCAGTGAGTCAGGAGGTGTCAGCAACGCTTCTGCTTGAGCCAGCGTGCAGCCAGGCACACAAAATCTGGCTGTTGACTGTCTCCTGCCTTTGTCCCTGCCTCACTTCCTCACCTCTGGTTGTGATATGCACACATTGGAATTTTGGAAAGGGTGACTGATGAGGGAATTTTGTTATTTCTGCACATCTGAGTTTGGCCGAGCTGACCCCGAGCAGACAGGAAGGGGTGGGTTTACTGGCACTGGCACGACACTGTAAATTTAGCTCTCTCCTTAACTTTCATTTCTGCCCTCAGATGTTCACATAGGGAAATTTTCCACCCTGCCCTGCCATCATTTGACGTGCAGCCTTCCACTGAGGAGCAGGAGGTGGCAAATGAAATGTTACCCTTCCCACCCTCAACTGCTGCTTTTAATGTCCCTTCAATCTGCAGAAACTAAAAAGGAGTCCAGACTGGGATTCTACTTGTATTTGCATATTTTCAAGCACGTAGGCCTGGGCCTTTTATTTTGATTTTGATAGAGTTTTTATCCCCACTTTATAAAGAAAACTTCAAAATAATGAAGAAGCCAGTGAAGAAGAGACTCCAGTTTGTGGTGAATATGATAAAACCTTAAAGGAACAGTAAGCAATCAGAACACACCCAAAAAACCAGAGTTGACATCTTGCAAAGTCTGGGGGAATATTTAAACCAAATGAATGTTCTTTGGGAAATGAAAAATCAAACCAGTATAAAAGAAGATTGACAGTAGTCAGTGAGAGGAGATATTTGGGAACAGCTTTTTAAACAGTAGTTATTATTGTCACTAATTGCATCTTTCTTTGCCAGAAACCACACAAAGCTTCCAATAAAACCAGTGGATCTGTGGAGGTTCCAGAGAATAAAGGCAGGGAGAACTGGTGAGAAGCTCTCTTGTATCATTGCCTTAATCTTCATTTTAAGACACACAGTCCCTGAGAGTTGGTTTACACAGCCCAATTTCTTTTATATATTTAAGGGTGGAATGTCATAAGGAAGGAAAGTGTCCTTAAAATTATTTTTATTTTGTTTTTAATGTTCTAAATTAAATGTAACAAATTGATAACACTGAAGTCTTGCATTTTTATAGGAGTTACCAGTTTCACTTTACGTGACTCCATTAGACATTTAAAGAAGTGGAGATTGAGAAAACTGGAAACTAGTCTGTATTATCCTGTAATTCTCCAGGTGTGATTTGTACATGCAGTTGTCACTGTTTCTATCCCCATCCTTTAGTACAGAACATTTTCAGCATGCTCAGGAGAGCTTTAAGGACAGTGACTGAAATGTACCTCCTTGAGATTTGCAAGCACTGAAAAATAAGACCAACAGAAGTGGGTCACCTATACCTTTTCAAAATTTCCTATCACACAACTGCTGGATGCCTCACAACCCATGTGTCACAGGCTTTCTCAGCAATTTATGGAACTTTTAATATTTAGTGTAGGAATTAGGAGGCTAGAAATGTGTTTTTTGCAGATGACATTTTCGGATGAGCAGTGCAATGCTACTGGCAAACTGAGACTTGCAGGTATGATCCCAGGGTGATCTGGCACCCAGGCTGTGCCACAAACCCTCACCATTTCCATTATTTATGTATTTATTTACCTCTGAGTTGAAAAAGTCCAGAGAGGCTTTCCTGTGGCTCGGTGCCTGCCATGCCAGGCATTGGAGACAGCACAGAGACAATACTTGTCTTACAAAACTTTTTCAGTATGAAATACACACTAAAGTAAATACACACTAAAGTGTTGCCAGGGAAATGTCTCTCCAACAGTTCAGTGACAGCAAGCTGGGAAATGTGAATGAAGCCTCATAGGCAGTAGAGAAGCAGCACTTCAGCCCAGAAAAGGAACAGAAAGTGAATGAATGCCATCCCAATGAGTTATTTGTACCACAAAGTGGCCACTTGTGACAGAAGCAGTGAGCATTTCACAGAACCTGGGAGTGCATTTCAGGGTGTAAATGCCTTTTGTGTTCCTGCCCCATTTCCACTGGTTCTCTGATTCCTCAGTCCCAGCCCAGGTTACCAGGGAGCTGTTCTGCCCCAGTCCTGCTCCTCACACTGCCCTGCAATTGTGTTCTGGTGCTCCAGGAATACCTTGTTGCAGCTGATCTTGCTGCTGGGGCAGGGAGATGGACGGGTGCCATGAGGGGGTCCTTCCCATTCCTTTTTTAATGGTTGTATGCTGCTGCTGGTTTAAGGACCAAATATCCTGTCCAGCCAGTGATCAAGTGGTAAAGCAGGAAGCAGAGTATGTTTCCTCAGGAAAGGAAATACATAAAGGCAGAGCCATCAGTTTGTAGATGGAAATGGAACTTACTTCACCCTTGGCATAGAAAGGGCAAGGGAAGCCCCAACAAATCTGATGTGCCAAGTGTTTACAGAGGCCCCACTATTTGTACTTATTGTGGTGTCACACGCAGCATTCTGACAATAATTAGGTTAGTTGGGAAAAAAGAGTTAGAAAAAATTCACTGGTAACCTATGAAAAGTTGGGACAGTTGAACATTGTCTCTTCAGGGTTCCATGAAACTGAGAAAATCAGCCCTTGTTTTCAGGTTTGCTTTGAAGACTCAAGATGTCCTGAGCTTAGGGCAGCAACCTTAAAAACAGAGCTTGAGCTAATGCAGAATCTTGCAGATATGGTATATATTATAGTATCAGACACAGAATACAGCTTAGTTGGAAGGAAATAGCAGAAAGTTGATTATTGAGACTGCAGACCATCACACATTCAGAAACAAAACAAAATTTGACTCCAAATGACAGCATGGTCAGCATGCCATTGAATAGGTCAAACAGTCTGCTTGGAAAGGGCACCTCTTTCATCAAAGTTTAATGCAACGAAAGCAACTGGTTCTTGCATTCTGATATGGCAGAAGTGGCTGTGCAAAAATAGGAAATATGTGCAGAATTGATTTTCTAAAAGAAAAACCTTCCAAGCGGTGTAGAATATTTGTAGAAGGAGTGCACAGAGAGCTTGTTTAGTTAATCTCTGACTCCACCTGAGAAATGAATGGTGCTCTCTTGTTCGTACTGTACAGAGGGACTTTTATTACCGATTTCAGTGATTAAAAAACAGATCTTGTTTGAGCAACTGGAGTGATTAAGCAGTTCCCCAAATGACTGTACCTTGGCCAATCCTTTAAACAGTTCTCCTAAGGAAAGATGTTTCTTCTCCTCTGGTTATCCCAAGTCTGATTTTTCATATCCAATCCCTACATAGCCTTTCCTGGATTTCAGCAGTCTCCAAGCGCAGGGAAATAAGGAAGGTGAATATTAAAGGCTTAGAAGCCATTGGACAGAGTTGAATTCAATTAAATTTCTACTAAGATATGTTCTTTCTTACTGTACTAGACATTAAGATTCCCCAGGCTCTGTAGAAAAGTGAGGTTAATAAGAATGGGAAGGATGCAAATAGGATTTTTAAACTCTGAAAAAATAGCAAATGCAAAGAAGAATGTCAAGCCAGAACTTCATGGCATGACATTGAGACACAGCTCACACATCATTTCTGCTGCTGATTAGATGTCTGGGATATTTTAAACAAAGGGATGTCGCCTCTAATTCTGATGAGAGAAAAGGCATCAAATTAAAGAAAAAATCCAGTTGTGAAAATCCACGAGAAGTGGATGCAAAGCAGCACAGGCTTGATACAGCCAAGAAGATGAATGCTCAGAAAACTCAGGTCTATTTTTCAAGAGTCTGATGTCTAGCAACCCTGGATTATATACAGGGGATCTTGTGCATGAACACGTGTGCACAGCACTTGCTTTGCCTCTAGCAGTGCTTTATACAAGAACTTTTCAAACACAGAAACTAGACACAGGGAGGAGAAAACACCTTGCCCGAGCTCGTCCAATACAAGTGTGACAGGTGAAAAATGAACGTGCATTTCCTCATTTCTCTCTCTGCCTTGGGCCTCATTTCTGTAGATCTCGGGTCGGTCGGCACCTGTAAATCTCTCTGGTTATCACTGTGCCACACTGGACCTCATATTAGTCAGCATCTTTAGATTGTAAACAGATTCCTTAAAATAGCCATACATGATATTATCCAAGGAACAAATAAAGCAAGTCAAAATCCCTGCTGGTGCCCTGGCCTGGCACTGCTCTTTGGGCTGCAGGTGCCTGGCAGCACTTGGCACTGCTGCCAGCCCTGGTCCTGGAGGGCTTGTGCCTTCCAGGCTGCAGGAGAAGCCTGGCTTTGTAATAGGTACGTGTTATCTAACATTGAAAATCAGCTCAACAGTCCTACCCAGCTGTCCTGCTGCTATTCCCACGTACAGCACAGTGGCTATGGTTTACACTGCAGGGACTGCAGTTTCCTTCTAGTATTCCTAGTGCTTTGGAAAAGCACCAGGGGACAAAGCTTGCAGGCAGCAACAGGCAGAACAGGCAGCTCTGGAGAGCAAGGAATTCTGCACATACTCTGTTGAGTAAACTTGATCAAAAGTAAGGAGGGAGTATAGTTATGTAAAATACCTGTCCTTAGTTACAATCACCTGATTAGATGCTTTCCTGGCCCACATTGTGAAGTTCTGTGGCTATGTAGAATTTCTCTTGAAGTTGCTCACTCTCTTCCTGCAGCTGTAGGTAATGTACAGGCATGGAGACTGGCCACACAGTGCTCAAGCCGTAAGAAGCCTTTCAGGATTGATTTATTTTAATTTTAACACTTGTGCAAGGTTGCAAATGGTGTTGAGGTGATCCCCTGCCGTTCCCATGGAGCACAGGCAGGAATCAGGGCTGTGGCAGCAGGGGAAGGACGGGATGCTCCAGCATCAGGAGCTGGTGGCTGCCCTGCCCTCCTCACACAGGTTATGTAATGCTGCTCAGCCACACACCCTCCACTTCTCCAATACAGGACATTTTGGGAATCCCCCTTTTTTTTTCAGTCTCCATGTCCAGCCTTACTCAGCTGTTTTGCATACATGGTCTGGAGTATAAAATGCTTTTGCCTCCCAGGAGGGATACAGAGCCTGAGAGATTAAAGTCAAGAAACTTTGACAGAGAAGAGCCTCTCCTGGCTGGGTTGGGAGCACCTCACAGAGCCCGGTAAGAATCACTGTGGCCAGCTGTTCATTCTGTCATTCATTTACTGCAGCTCACAGGTGAAGTAATTATATGACAAACTGTATGTTTCTTTCTGTATTAGGAGCAAAGTGTTGGACTCAGTCTCCTGCTCTATCCCAAACTGTCTAGCTGCTCTGAAAACTTTGTCCCCCCTTTCTGCTGATTTAAAGGTCTGTGCATATAACAGGTAACACTGCCAATGTTATCCACAGAACCCTGGGATGCAGAACACAAAGCAGGTTCTTACTCTGATGCAGTGAAGGGAAAAGTGAGTCTGCTCTCTTTCTTCTTTTTTCTTTTTTTCCCTATTATAATTTTTCCTCTTTTTCTTAATTTTTTTTCCTTTTCCTCCTTTTTCTCTTTGTGTATTGTTTTTATGTTTGTTTGGGGTTTTTCCTCCTTTTTTCTCTTTCTGTTTCTCTTTTTCTAACCTTTCTTTCCTTCCTTCTTTCTTTCTCTCTTTCTTTCTTTCTCTCTTTCTTCATTACTGTGTGATGTGTGGATAACACAGCAACATTTCACATCCCTTTTCTAAGCTTATGGTCTGCTCAGACACCGATTTTTGCTGCTTTACACGACTGGGGGATGTTTGAAATTCTCTTGCCAGTATTTTAGATTAATACATGGCTGCAGCATTACACTGACAAAGCAGTGGTAGTTTAGGTATCCCTACTCTGAGTGTCAAGCAATTGTCATTTAAAAACAGGATGTTAGTTAGGTCAGATCAGTTAGTCTGGGGAGTTTCTAAGTGATGTTAAAGGGAGTTACCCTCTTGGGTAAAAACTGACCTTGTTGGGTTTTCTGTGTCCTCAGAAGTGTTCCCACAACACACAGAACAAGGTTTCAGCACTGTGAACTAAGACCACAAGTAAAGCATACAAAATGCTGTGCCCCTGGCAGTTTGTGTTCAAATCTCGTGCTGCCAAGAGCCAGTGCTCTGGAGAGAAGGATTTCAATAACAACGTGGAGAAAAATAGGAAGATCCGTGGGTAAGATCCTGGTCCTTTAATACTTTCATAGTTTATTTTTCATTTCAAAAGGGAAGATATTAAGTAGTTTGGGTTCTGGAGAAACCTGTAATGTGTTTCCAAAACACTAATATTAACAAAATTATTGTCCCTGGGGGTCCCTGGGTGGTGTTACTTGGTAATGGACATTAAACTTTTGTGTTTAAGTTATACAGTCATTGAGGATATAAATCATCTTGCTTTCTCTTTCATGGTTCTAAATTTATTTGGTATTGTAATGGTTTCATGTATTATCAGGAGGCATTTGTGTGCTATAAAAATAGCAAAGTGATTATTTACGCTGTAATTAAGTTGGTAAAGTATTTCTGTGATGCAATTCATACAAGGCGCTGTATAAAATAAGTTGCAGATGCATCTCAAATTTCTCAGTCTGCGAGCTGTTAATTATTTCAGGTTTCATATCTGTTGCTTTCCTTCCCACACAGTGCCCTGGGAAGGGTGACACTCTGGCTTTACTTTTGACTCCTGGTCCACTGCTCCCCTCCCTGCTTGGCTTACGGGCTCAGCACAACTTTCCGAGACAGTGCTGAGCATCTCCCCGCTGATGCTGAGGACAAAACTAATCAAACCCAAGCATGTCACCTTATACTAAATTCTCTTTCTCCCTTTTAAAGCTTAGAAAAGGATGATACCAAATTGTATGATCCAAGCAAGAAGCAGATCAAGGTGCTGCCCGTCGTGACTTCGGCAAAGACCGGGGAGGAGGGAGAGGTGTGTTCCAGCATCTTTGTTTGATAACAGCAGTTCAAGAGTGGGGCCTGCTGCTCAAAACTGCTCAGAGTTCTCTGTGAGGCCTGACTGTGGTTGCAGGAGGTTAGAGCTGCTGGGAGAATTTTGGGTGAAAGTTCTTTTCTGACCTAAAGGGATCCTGGGTAATACCTAAGGGAAGAGGTGAGCCTGTGGGGATTGGGGTGGCTGATTCCTTTATTCACCTTTGCAGACCCAGCCTTTAGTAACAAACCTCTCCTGTCTCTAAAATTGCCTGGTGCACTGTTTTCCTGAGGCTGCAACTATTATGTTCAGAGGCAAGGCCTTGCTGAAATTATAAAGGTGTTTGCAGTGGCAGATACTGTTTGATTAGTACAAAAATACTTTTTTCCCCCATTCCATGTCAAACTGTTGATTAGCTCAATAGTTTTGTAGTCAAACACATATTCATGTTGGAGCAGATCACATATCTAGTTTCTTGAATTTATCTGTAGCCTTTTGATGGTCAAATAAACTTTAAAATGAAACTTCAAGATGTTTAATAGATCTGAAGCCAGTATACATTTTTATCTTTTCTCTGTCCAGAACTTTCCTCAAAGTGATACCAAAGTATCAAACCAAATATCAAGATGTCCAAGACATTTAAGAATAAGAAACTTGGAAAATGGATCCAGCTTTCTTGACACACTACACCTGACAGCAAAGGAGGTGAAATACAGAAATCTGAACAGGAATTTTTCAGCACTTTGAAAAAATATAGAGTCCAACATTGGGTTTTGACATTTTATTGTTTTTCAGGTTATGAATTGCCAGACCAAAGCCTGCCAAGGGTCACTCATGACCCCAAAGGGCCAGGTGAGAGGGACCAGAGATGGGCCAGTTCCACTGGAAGAGCTTTTGCCTCAGGCAATAGACTTTCTCAAGCAGTACTACAGTTCATTTAAAGAGTAAGCCAATTTACCTTTATTTTTGGTATAAAAAAGTTCTCTCCCTACCTGTGTGTGAGACTCGAGGAGGTTCCTGTTACATAGCATGCATTTAAAAACTACATAAGGACTGTTAGAAAAGCTAAATAAAATTACCCCTGAACTTCATATGCTCTTTGTGCCAATGCAGGGGGTTGGGAACACAGGAATGGACTCTGTACCATGCACTGCTCAGCCCCATCCCTTTAGAGTGTGCTACATCCCAGTGCATTGAGGGCTCTCTTACAGGGTGTTACCTGCTGTTTTCTTGGCATGGGTTGAGATTAGCTCCACTCAGATCAGTCTGAGACGTGAATAATGTGGATAATGTGTTTTGTTTGTGCTGTTCCAAGTACCTTTTCTCTGTGTTCCTCTCAAGGCTTTAGCCAGTCTTGCTTCTCAGCCTTGCTCTGTGCTATCAGCATAAGCTCAGTGAGCATGCCAAGAGGTTCTCACAAAAGTGGTCATGGTGCAGAGGCATCTTGTTGCAGGAAATGCTGGGACAGCTGGTTGAGGTGCAAGAGTTTGCAGTGACATTTCACCTGACGAGCTTTCAAGCAACAATTCAGTGTTTGCCCAAACATTATCAAACATTATCAAACTTTCAAGGGGCTCACCCAAATAGTGGCCACTTCTTTAGATGCTTTGAACTCTTCTACAAAGCTTTCTTCCCTCTGAATCTTTCTGAAAGTCCCTGTCATACACACAGGCTGTACTTGCCACATCTCTGTGTCTCTGCTTATGGCTGTTTGATCACATTGATTTACAGTATCTTACATGCTTGCCCTTGATCTTTCATCTTGCTGAAAATGTGAAAACTCTCAGACAGTGCAGGCTAGTTTCATTCTGTCTGTAAGCAAACAAAACAATTTTTGTCTGTGCTGTGATAGATATTTTCTAATGTTTTGACTTCACTCTCTGTTATCAAGCTAAAGAATTTTAGAGTTGGTTTCCCTGACAAAGGAATTGCTCAGCACTTCCTCTTAGGAATGAAAATCCTACTTATTTTGCTCAGAAGAGCTGTGTCCCTGTGACAATAATGGAACTTTGAGAGGACAGTCACTGTCATCCTACCTTTGGCACAAAACTCTCTCTGGTTTTCATTTGCTTGTGATTTGACAATTTTTTTTTCCAAATTAATCTACAAAATCCAAATTTAAACTGAAAACCTTTACAGAAAAGCCTGTGAAAAATTCCTGCATGTGTTGGGTGGTGAAAGGATGGTGTCACTACTGAAATTTCTAGTGTGTTCATTTCTTCATGAGGCCAGTGAACTGTCATTCACACTCCATAGGGACAGAAGTCCTGAAATTCTAAAGCCAGAAACAATCCTCCTCTGCAGTTCTCAGTCAGAGTCCTGTGGACTTAACTTATCCCATTACCTGGAATCCCCTCTGCCTTTTGGTCAAACTCTCAGCCCCCAGAGAGCTGCACTGGGTGACAGCTGTGCCTGGGGACAGGAGTGGGGTGCAGTGGAGGGAGGTGGGGGCAGTGACAGTGCCTTCTGCACCTGCAGCCCAGTGAAACTGCTGCCTTTGTGAGGCAGTGGAGGTTTTCATAAAGGGTAGAGTCATTTATGTCTACATGCAGCGAGTGCAGATTTATAACAGCAACAGGTTTCTCAGTGTTTATTCAGACTTTTCCTATCTCAGCCTACCCAGATGCCAATGCCCTCCCTGGAAATCCTCTCCCTTGCATTCAGGCAGGTAACAGCAGTGCTGCCAGTGGAAGTCTGCTCGTGCAGAAGGATGCTCACAAGCTTCATGGCTTCAGCAATGTCTGGGGTGTTCTTGACCCTGAACATAAAGAGAATGTCTGCACTTCGAATCAGTTCTGAGTCATGAAATTCTCATTGTTTCTTTTCATGGCTGTTTCCTGTTCAAAAGATCAAAAATGGAAGAATACCCAGGCCGGCTGGAAACAGTGACCAGGGAGATAGAAACTACAGGAACCTACCATCTGACAAAGGATGAGCTGACCTTTGCTGCCAAACAGGCCTGGAGGAACGCACCCAGGTGCATTGGGAGAATCCAGTGGTCCAATCTACAGGTAAGCTAAGGATCCAGAGGTTATGGGCCAAATAGTCTCTGCTGGGAAATGGAAAAATGTCCTTTACTTTGGTAGAACATGCCATTGCTCCAAGGAGGACTCCCTACTATTCATAAGATCATTTTTTGTAGTTCTCTGTTTCACAGCTGAATGAAAATGTGTGGGAGTGCAAGTGCAGGAACCAGGTGTGTCATGGAACCAGGTGCATGTTTTGGTCCTTGGAGGATTGTTGTGTGTGAAAATGATGCATATAAAGACTGTAAAAATGAACCTTTCCTAATGAAGCTACAATCTTTCCTGTCCTTAAATGCACAGGAAAAATAACAAGCTTTCATTACTGTCTCAAAATAAGTTTTCTTCTTTACAATTCTGTTGGAAACATGCAGGTGTTTGATGCACGGGACTGTAAAACAGCACAGGAAATGTTTGAGCATATCTGTCGTCATATTCAGTATGCCACAAACAATGGGAATATAAGGTAGGTCTCTTAAATTTTAACTTTAAACTACAAAAATCACATCCAGATCTGGCATCAAAAATACCTGAATGGTTTATCTAAATATTTTGACAACTCATCTCTGCTTTTGATTCTCCTGGTATTTTTTTTTATATGTTCCTCTCACGTGACCCATCAGCCACTTTGAAATTTTTAACTTTCATGGTTGATGTTGCAAAACCTTTCACAATTCCTGGGGAAAAGAGACGATTTGAAGGTTCGGGGAGGTGGGTAGAGAGGATGAATGATTTTATTTCTACTGATGTTTATTTTAGAAATACAAAATATTTTCCGTTGGTAACAATATATGAATTGGTGTGAGGGCTGTGCCTGTCTCTCATGTTTGGTGTGGTGGTGTGAGGGCTGTGCCTGTCTCTGGTGTTTGGT